CTCGTCTGACTATCTGAACGTTCCGGAAATAACAACTTACTGAAGTCCTCACAGTGCATACACGAAGCAAAATTCTGCCATATTGTATGTGACATGATTCAGCAATTTTTATTCCTAAAATGACACACATAACTTTAAGTAGCGACAATAAAGTTAATTTACTGAAACCATTTTGCCGCTGGGTTTGGCGTTTTTTTATTCAGGTCATCGAAATGCATTGACCGTACATTCTCTAGTGACTCTCTTATATATCAGCGCAGTGGAAACATGTCTGACGTGTTTATTCAGGCAGATAAGGCACAAGACGATCACAGTGACACGGCAAAACAGGTCGAAACCTGAGCTCTGAGGCGCCAGTCAAGTGACCCCCTGGTGGGTTCTTAATTGTCGAAGAACTCTAAAGTCCCCGAGTATTTCCCGAAAGGGATGGGTTCCAGTGAAGGTTTTTTTTTTCAGATTCCCCACCGCACTACCCAACTACTGACCCCTGAAACGTGCATCACCGTATACGCTGTTTTAAAAGTTTAAAAAGCACACGATACCCTGTCAGTATAGAAATAATCTCTCTTACACTACTTGTGAAGAAAATGAACGGAAGATATACAGACAGCAACTAAGAGAAGATATAAAACTGTATTTACAAAATTCAATGAAGTTACAGCCAAAATATATTTAACAATAAGATGCAAGATAAAGAGGCTCACCTTTCTTCTTTAGAATAGAAATTAACGATTAAAGTAAAATTGCTTTTGCGGCGGTCGCTTGTCTACCTATTACATAGTCTCCCGGCTGCGAGGGAGACTACCTCTTACACGGAACATTACTTAAAAAATAAAGTGGAACGACTGAACCTCAAAATAGAAAAGGTCCTCGGTATAACGAACGATTTTCTTTTAGCCCGGCCAAAGTAACAATAAAATCTGTCGAACAAAACCGCGATTTAACGGAATCCTTGTGATAACGAACACGAAAGGAATTCTTGGTGGGGGCGTGCCGCCCGGTTCCCCTGACCCTATTTCAGACCACAAAATGTTATTTTTTACTCCCGTTTTCAGACCAGACCTCTAAAATCCATACCCGTTTTCAGACCTGGCCTTTAGGCAGAAATTATGTCATCATTACTTAGATTGATGTGAAGTATATATGAAATAATTCATTTTTGAACTGCGGTTGTAGATTAAAGTGATGAACGATCATCGCAGTAAATTTTCCAATTTAAGCAATTGGAAAGAAGAAGCCTGAAAATTTCACTCCTCACGGGCGAACCCGTGACCTCCGCGTTACCGGTGCGTTGCTCTATCAACTGAGCTATGAAGCCACACATTGGGAGCGAGGTCAATTTATTGAGTTCATATCTCCCGTGAGGAGTGAAATTATCTGAAGTACGGGAGATATGAACTCAATAAATTGACCTCGCTACCAATGTATGGCTTCATAGCTCAGTTGGTAGAGCAACGCACCGGTAACGCGGAGGTCACGGGTTCAAATCCCGTTGAAGCCCTGATTTTTTTTCAGGCTTCTTCTTTCCAATTGCTTAAATTGGAAAATTTACTGCGATGATCGTTCTTCACTTTCATTACTTAGATTAGAGCGCAAACAAAAAAGACCCATTTTGAATTCGCATACAGCTTCTCCGTCATTTTTCTTACTCATTTGGAACTGAAACGATAAATACGTTCATACGTTCCCATAGTTTCCTCCAAAACCATACCCGATTTCAGACCAAAATGGGCAAAGTGTTCTCAGACCACCGTCCCTACCTTTTGGGGCGGCACATAACTATATGGCTTATAAAAGGGAGTACCCTATCGCCGGGAAAGAACATTTTCAGGGCTTGTTTTCCAAAAATTCCTTAAATTGGGGTTTTCGATATAAGGAACAAATTTCCCTAGTCTCTTGGCAGATTGTTATATCGAGGTTCCACTGTACGAAGTTTTCATTCCCAGCGAGCCGGTTCACAAGATAAGTAAAGGTTTGAACGTGACGAGGAGGGACACTATTAGCGGCTACTTGTCTGTTCTTTAGTCCTTCACTTTTCAAAAAGTCACGAGTTTTTGGAACAACAGACTTTGATTTACTGCAAGTTTGTACAAGAACCGAATGTTTGTGGGTTACACTATAAGCAATTTAATCAAGGAGTGCAACTTTGACGTTGTAAATTTTGAGTATGACAAGAAAATACAGTACCAAATGCATAAAAATTCATTAATCAGCTATGTTAGGGTTATAACACCTCAAGTTTTAAGGACCAAACCCAAGTTTATTTATTTTTCGGGTAATGAACAATCTATTATCTCCTTCACAAAAAGTAAGAACCTACTTAGCCTAAATTGCTAATAAGTACACCAGACTTCAAAAACGTCGCTACCTATTCGTGGGTGTTCACTGAACTTCGAAGTTCCGGAGAAAAAACGTCAGAAATAATGGGGTTTGACCCTGAAGGAGGGGAGGGGGAGGGGGTATTTCCATATATGGGCTATATAGGTACGTGCCGCTGTGAAGGGTATGGGTTTCAAGCAGTTTACTCTGTATAAAAATATAGGGTAGCAAAATTCAGCGGAACTAGCTGTGGTATAGGCTAAGGGTTCCAGGGTCCCAGCGGCACATTCCAACCCAAAATTCCTCAAGTGCCCCCCCTCACCCCTCGAGGGTTTGACCCAGTTGTTCTCAATATACAAATATATCAGGTCCCAAGCGAAAAAAAGTTCCCGAGAGTCGTAATGTTTCAGCGGTCAATAAATCCCCGCAGTCTTTATTTTCATAAGAGAAGAAATAGACTATGAGAGGGTCAGTGAACAGGCTATTAAAACAAGACAAGACAATGTTTTATTTGGAGTCTTATACAGTCCCATGTATATCAACTTTACCCAAATAATTTTAAATTATAACACAAATTGCACACTAGTGGAACTATAATCAATGTTAACCTAAACCATAGGCGTACGGGCAATTTTTTGCCAGAGGGGGCGGTAAACCATTTGCCCAAAAAATTCTTGCAAGTTGCCCAATTTTTTACAAAACGGTCGAAAAGAAACGAGGGCCATATGATGCAGCAACATAGGCCGTACTGGCATATGAAAGTGGCTCGATACAGTTTTTCAGGGTCAATACCTGCCAAGTGTGAGCATAAACTGCGTCGCCGTAAACAAACATTTGGAAACATTGCCACCACAGTTGTGTCAAAGAAAGATGAAATTTTGTTATGATCAGGGTTGCAATGACATTAGAGTTGTCATAGCAACAAAATGGCGCCCTTACCTTTATACTTACAGCAATCTTTCTCACTGGGAACTGTTCTAACAAAATAGTTCACAGGACGTTTTTCTTCCAATAGTCGCCTCGATGTTCGTGAAGTTAAAACGGAATCTGTAAGTACGTTATCGAGATATTTTGGGATGAAGTTTTTATCGTTAGAAAAACGGTAAAAAAGGAAGATCTTGATGTTTGGCGGTCATCTGAAGAAAACGAACCGCTTTTGAAACGCAATTTCACCTGATAGTAGTTTCAATCTTTTTAAAAATCGTGTGGAAGGTCATGGAGATAGCTCTGACCAATTGCTACTGAACAAAGAAGAATGTGATTAGAATGTATCATGGCGCTCTTGTTAGCGGTTTTGCAAACATTTCGGTCTACTTTAACAATTTAATGAATAATTTTTAAACCGCTCGATAGATTTTTTTTAAAAATTAAGATTCTTCTCGTAATTCAAACTGAGAATTAGTCAGCCCCTGCACTTTTCACTTTCAGACCCATTGCTGAAGCTATCTGCCATACACTGTTCTACGAGCGGAACTGCGGAAGTGATCCTAGAAAGTTACGCAGAAGTTTATTCTAATCAATTCACGACTGGAAATAGCCCATTCCAGCTAGTGCAGTGCAGCACAGTAGCCAACATAAAAAAACGCATATGATACCCTTCCCTTATAACCAGAAACTCATCACGTGCTAGGCAACCACTGTCTCGTGTGAATGTAACTGGATTATTACGCCGACTTCAGGTTAAAATAGAAAATATTTATCTCTTCAAAATAATAATAAAGTAGACGCGGAAACGTCTTTAGAAACTGGCTCTGCCCAAATTTTCTCTTGTGCCCAAAAAATCTGAGTTGCCCAAAGTTTGGGGGGCTGCAGCCCCCCTCGCCCCCCCGGCCCGTACGCCTATGACCTAAACAACTAATGATCTTCTTTTCTCATAGCAGTCGAATACGTATTTTGCAATTAACTTTTGCACTTGTTTGTTCTTGCTCGGAGGGTTTATTAACAACAGAAAAACATCATCTGGTGCCATTAAGTTTACTGATATTCTGTATTCTTTGTTTAAGTATTCAAATAAAGTACTTCTTTTTTGTTAAAACTACCACACTAGCAATTCAACGAGGTCTGTTATCGATCTCAGTTCCATCGATATGTCTCCGGTTGCAACCGGCGGTATCGACTCTATTGTAACTTTGTTGACAACAGCTCTTTTAACATAATCCACGTTGGGTTAAACACATTACAAATGTTCACATTTAAAACTAACACGCCCCTCCCCCCCACCCCCCGCTCCACGCCCGCGTGACAATGGGGAGCTCAAGCAACAACAGCGGCGACGGCAACGGCCAAAAAGCGAAAGGTTTAGATTAGCAAAACGAAAACTTTGCCCGTGTATCACGCTTCTTTTGGATATTTCTTTGCCGTCGTTGCACGACTATAACGTAGAAAGGGCCTAACTTCACATTTTGTTGAGGACGGGAACAAAACACAGCTTTCTATTTCTTTTCCTGAACTTTCGTGATACAGTCCTTTAAAACGTTGCCAACATTTGACGGATTAAACGAGTTAGGATAAGCGCGATAAAGTTCGAAAGCAGCGCGAATTCACTTTTTAAGTGACGTTTTCGTGTCCGTCGTCGTCGTTGTTGCTCCCTAATTTTTTGTCTTTTGAGTCAGCAACAAGTTTATAATACCCCGGCCTTCCGTACCACTACAATTCCTAATTTCATGCCCAAACGTTGTCGCTTTGGTCGCCTCCAGAACATAGTTCAGATGTTCTTCTGAACAATCCCCTTGTCGAATTTGAAGAATAAAATGATGCTGGTTAAGCAAGTATGGTACCATTAACCTTACCGCTTGTCCCAGTGGATTTCCCATCAGGGACAGAGCCCAAAGGTTAGGGATGACTTTCAAATTGTCGAGCAAACTACATAAGTCAGCTTCACCCATATCTAATGCTTCAAGGTGTAAACACTCCAAGGAAGGAAAGAAGCACAGGTTTCTGGTGAGCTGAGCAAGTGTTCCTCTTGCGCTAAAATTACAGATCTTTAGGCGAATTAATGGCGGAAAAGGTCTCTTAAATTTGCCAAACATTGCCTCCATTTCCTCATGCTGCAAACTGCATCCATCTGAACCTTTCACACTCACTTCTTTTAAGGCTGGTAATTCAGGCAATGACCGACCGAGTGCCTCGGCTGCTGCAGACGTCAGCTTCACTTTGCGCAGTTTCACTTCCTCAAGGGCTTTGTTTGCGATAGCAGCAAACAGTCGTGTCACTGAATCGTCAGAACATTCAACCAGATTACCTATCTTTAATAATCGTAAAGCTAATAATTCAGGCAGCGACTGACTGAGCGCCTTCACTGCTGCTGACGTCAGGTTCATTCTACGAAGTTTCAATCTCTCGAGAGTCTTGTGCTTGATGGCGGCAACCAAACTTGTTACCGCCTGATCAGAGCAGTCGATCAAGCCACTCATGCTTAGAGTCTGCAAGGCTGATAGTTCAGGCAGCGACTGGCCGAGTGCCTCGGCTACTGGTGACGTGAAGAGGATTTCACTCAGTGTCAGTTCCGTTAGAGTCTTGTGTTTGATAGCGGCATACAAAGATGTTGCTGTTCCATCGCAGAACTCATCATCAGCCAAGCTACATATGCTTGAAGTTTGTAAGTCTGATAATTTAGGCAGCGACTGGCCGTGTGCCTCGTCTACTGACGACATCAAGAGGATGTCACTTGGTGTCCGTTTGGGGAGCTTTGCAGACGTGTGATTGATATATGCTGCTGCTTCTTCAGAGCAATTAACCAAGCAAAAGTCAAATTCAGTAACGTTTTCAAACCTTGGTAACAAAAATGCAAGTTTTTGTGCTCCCTTTGACGTTAACGCGCAATGCCTGATGGACAAAGAGCACTTGAGAGGATTTGCAACTTGCTCCAAGATATGACACAAAGTATCATCACTTTGTAAAACTTGAAGACGTTCTAAATGATTACAGTGTTTGATAATTTCGACAAGACCTTCAAAGGAAAATCTAGTGGAAGAACAACGAATAGTTTTCAAAAATTTCAGACACAGCTGTCCTGAACTTAAATTCTCTGAATTGGAAGGAACAGCAAAGTCAACGAATAGCCGGGCGTGGTCATTGCACAACAGAGCCAAGTGCGTAATGTAAAAGTGGACTTGGTCATTACGGTAACAAACCACTGGCAAAAATCCGCATAAACAACCGGGAAGAAAACAAGTAAGACAGAATTTTCTAACAAAATTTGTAATTTTGAGAACTTCCGAACTTTCAGTAACTAGTGTTTCAAGCGTCTTTTCTAGTGCTAAGACGTTATATTTCATGTCCTCTAAAGGAGAGTCTGTTAATTTAGAAACCACAGACCAGGACTTTTCATGCTGTGCCTTTAACAACAGGTCTTTAGGAAGTAATTCAAATCCTGGAGAAATAAGAATACTCCCAAGACAATCCAAACAAGCTCTTGAAAGTTCAGCTTTTGATTCAACCTCTTCATATGAATTTACAACCAAATTGCGAAATTTACACTGACGTTCAGTGACGTCACTCAGTGGTGCGTCTGTCTCGTTCTCAAAGTCTGGTATTGCCTTTGACATATCCAGCGAAGGATCTGAGATTCTGACAGACTTCAAATGTGTCAAAGCTGTCGACGCTCCAACTTCACTAAGGCCACATACAAACTGGAAAACATTTTCTAAAGCCAAGCACTCCTCCAACTTTCCTCCAATTTCACCGAGATTTCCGCCTTCAGGTATACATCTGTAGGTGATATACCATGCGGCAAGGAACTCTTGAATACTCTTGTGAATAAAGGACACCATTCCAATTGGTTGTAAGGTTTCTGAGTATTCGGTGATTTGAAGCAAACCAATGAGGACGCTTTCGTCACAATGGACAGAATCGGACAACTGACTGTACTCAAACAAATGGTCATCCTTCAGAAGAGCTTGTAAAGCAACCTTTCCTATTTCTGAGAGGATCTTTTGTTTTTCTGTTAGTTGGACATATCGAGGTGGTCTTTGCTTGCTATAGCTGTGATTTAAAATGAACTGTACAATTTCTATGTACAATGTAGTTTTTGTTTTCGGAAAGAGTTTTAACTGTCCCTTTCTCCAAAGAATACAGAAAAACAGAAGGAGTAAAGGGACTTTCGCCAGTTCCTCCAGCTTTCTGTGACGTAAGTGCTCTTCTAAGTTTGACACTTCATGGGCACTAAGGAATCTCAGCATAAAGTCATTTCTGTCCACTTCGCTGAAACCCGTGATTTCAGCTTGCAGGTCTTCACACCCTCGTAGTTCGTCAGATTTTGAAATACGAGTTGTTATTAATACACAGCAGCCTCTCAGGCTATTTCCACTAAAAATCTCGTATATTTCTGAATCACATCCACTGCGGTACTCGTCGTAGCCGTCAAAGATCAGAAGAACTTTCTCTTGGTTGTTAGTGATATAATCAACAAGACCCTCTGTCATATATTTGTCTTCCTTTGCAAACACATTAGAGAGTCTTATGACATCTTTAAAACTTTTACATTTGGACACTTCCTTGAGATTTATGGCAACCACGAGGTCGAAATTCTTTAAGATAGCTGTTTGTTCATCACCAGTCTCGTTATTAACGTCCACCCAGTCCACAAGAAGCTTCTTAACAAACGTGCTCTTTCCAATTCCCGTCTGCCCTTGCACGAGTATTCTCTTTGGAATAACGCCATTCTTCTTTGCTTTGAAGAGATCACAGTAATGCTTCAGTTCAGCCTGTGTTGTTCCAGCTGGGGTTTGTTCTTCTTTCACCCAGGACAGACGAGTGTAGATCTGGTGAATGTCGACAACGGATTTCTTACTCCAAACAGAAGTGGGAATAGTTGATGTCTTTCGGTAATGATCTTCTAGTTTGCTTCGACAGGATTTCAGGTCGAATGATTTCAGAGATGAAGCTTCTGATAAGTGAAAAAAAGGGAATCAGTATCATACAACGCTACGTATCTAAGTCTGACAACACTAGTTATACTCAAATGACAAGCAATCTATACCGCTGTGAGCTGTCAAATAATATGCTTATTATCCATCCTACCCGGAAACACTGTCGAACCACAGGTTTTTTTTCTGTAATTTACAATCGTAGGTTACAGAAACAATCGTGTTTTTTCTGCCATACAAATCCTTATATTTCAAAGGTCAAGCAACAATGCTGATGCTCATATTTCGAGCTTGAGCTACCTGTTGTCGAACTTCCATTAAGCGGTTTTACCCTCTCTTTGGGTTCCTAAGGAAAAAAATTTCTGTAAAACTTTATTAAGCTATCCACGGAGACCCAGGGGCAGTCAGGCCGGTCGGGCGAAGCGGCATGACCAAAGTTTTCAAGCACGGGCGAAAGTGCTCGGAACGTTTCCTGCCGACCCTCCTGACAGCTCTTGGGTCTCTGATGGTTCTCGGCAAGGAATGCCTTCGCCGAGGGTGGCCACTAAATAGAGGTTCAACCGTAATTGGCTCAAAACTCATAAAACTGGGCTGAGTTTTCAGTTATGATTTTCTTATGGATTCATAAGACATGAATAAAACTAATAATCTGAGTTCTAAGAAAATGTCAGAGCAGGTCAAAATAAACTAGCAGTCCGTGTTTTACCAAGTTTAAAAACACCTGATAACATTCTTGGATGTTTATTGAACTGTACATAAAAACCTTGTCTGTTTTAAACACACAGACAAAATAGACAGTATAACAGTTTTGGTGGTGGTGGTGGTGTGTGTGCCGGGGGGAGGCATGCCAAAAAGTATTGCCTGATGACCCCCAAATACCACCAGCGCCCCCTATACCATGAAAAATCAACCGTCCCTTAGTTACTGTTTAACCACGACCACAAAATCCACATTTTACTGATCGCTTGACCTCAGCACAACAACATTATGTTAACGATACCTTCACGCGATTACGACGATGGAACGGAATATCGTTACGACGAAATTAAAAAAGAAACGTGTAACAAAAAAGTGTGACGAAAGTGCAAAGCTATCGTTTTGCTCATTAAAGCCAGTTGTTTTTTTGTATTCTGTCCTCTACCTCCTCATAATCGACGTTACTAAGTTCCCTAACAAAACATCTTTGTCCTTCACTTTATTCTGCAAAAAGTATAAACTAAAGCCGGGGAATCCTTTCATTCACAATTTTTGATAAAAGAGGTGGGACCGTGCCTCAACTCAGCTAACCTGGTTTGTCGATCTGTGTTTTTAAACTCTTCAATTCTAGTCCAACCTCTTCTAATTTCACGGCTTTCTCAGTGTCTCTTTGCTCTAGACGATTGACTCTCTCTTCTAGTGCTTGTAACCACACCCTTGTGTGTTCTTCAAAGGACACAAGTCTTTCCAAAATCTTTGTAATCTCCTCACTTCTGAACTCCAGTGCATCAAGTCGTTCGTCATGCTCGTTCAACCTGACTTCTTGATCTTTAAGGATAGCAAAATCTTCTTCGAGTTTTGCTACTTGCCTGTCCTGCCGATTCAGCTGTGACTTGAAGGCGCTGTACTCCTTGATGAGATCTTTCACTTCATCTTGTACTAAACGGAGAAGATCCTTGTCCACAGCATGTCCCATGATCAACGCACAACCTGAGGCAAATAAGATGGAATCAACAAGTACAACCGAAACCATATAGCAAAGAAGTATTGTATAGAATTGCACTTGCAAACAAACCGTCAGTAATTTTACGGTTTATACAAAATTACCAGATCAATTGAGGTTACTGGATACATGTAAGTGACCACTTACCCCTCCCCTAAGTCACAATTTTGACTTTGGGGAGGGGTACCATAGGTAGACAGTTACCCAGGAACCTTAATTGAACTGTAGTCACTTATTTGGAACCACCAACGGCCCGTGGACCATGGACTTGTTGTAGGGCCTCTTGTAGTGTTTGGACCAGTTGTGGATGCACAGCTGAGCCCCTTCCCAAAAATGTTAAAGATCCTGGTCAGTTCCTTATATAGCAAGCATTACTATGATTGTAACACATAGAAAGAGAGTAGTAGAGATCCTTTAATCACTGTGAAAGTATGACTCTTTACCAATCTTGAAAAGCTAATTAATTGAGAATACAGTGCTTGACCTGTTACTTATTCTCAGTGATAATTTTGATGGCCCTTAAATTATACCCTTAAAAATACTTTTCGCATATTGTCCATTGCTTACAAGGCCTAATAGAGGTAGTTATAGTCAAGCCCTAAGTCGCCGGGCTCTTAACTACAGGTAAGTGCAGTTTACTCATCAGATTCCTAATATTTAATTGGATATAAGAGACGCTTAATAGAGGTGACCACTCACAGAGGTTAATCACCATGAGATAAATCTCTATATCTAGTGGATACCACAATACAGTGTATTTGGTTTCCCTGATAGCTATCCAACGGATAGTGGATTGTTGTCTGGTGAATTAACCCACCATCTAATGTTTTTGCAAACACTTGTTCCTTCCCTCTCTGAAGAAGCCCATACATGCATGTATACTTTAGAGATGTGTGACTGTAGCTTGTTGCTTGATGGGGACTTTGAAGCAGTTCATAGTCCTCTTTACAAAGGACACTGATCAATCTTCCTTGGAATCGTGTGTAAAATTAAACTAGCAGCCCTATTCTGCATCTTTTGAAGTTTCTCTGCTAGTCCTTTATTAATATCACCCCATACAGCACTACAGCAATTAAAATATGGCATTACCAGTGCATTGTACAATTATTCACTCTAGTATCAAATGGTAAAATAGGACTCACACGCTTGAACATAGCAAGACCAGTGGATATTTTATTTGAAATGGTATTAATGTGTGGGCACCAGTTCAGAGATTCATCAATTTGAACTCCAAGAGATTTACGGTTATAATTACTACTCTTTCTAACGGTGAGTGTGGTATGAAGAATTTAGCAGATCGAGCAGGGTGTTATCCACCGAGGCCGAAGGCAAATCAAGTCAGACAAATCAAGTTCAGGAATATCACACCATTTAGGAGATAGTTGTCAATATTCCACAGTCATTCATTTGTTGCCTAATTCCCAATTTATCTATTAATGAATCAGTCAAGCCTGTTGTTTTGAAGAATGTTAACAGTCTGTACATATGTACTTTTCCGCTCTGGACTACTTCACTTTTCACTTCATAGTAATCAGCCTGAAATAAGGGACCGTTCATTTTTTAAGGGGGAGGGGAACTGGTGGGATTTGAAGGGGGGGCATGAATGAAATATGATTTAAAAGGGGGGAGGTACATAAGGAAGTAAAATATTGGGTGTAAAGAGGGGAGGGCACCAAAAAAAAATTCCTTCAAGTTCTGTGATAATGCAACAGCTGCCTACCAGAGTGCCAAAAACCAGCATTTCTGACCTTCAGAAAGTTCAGATTTTCCCGGGAAGCGTGTCCCTAGACCCCCTAATGTAAATGACTGTATTACACGCCAAAAAGCAATTCTACCCCAATAAAATGCAAAAAAAGCTTACCAAATTTAATGTTTCTTTGGAGAAAAAAACAACAAACTTTATTTAGGGAATGTTTCTTGCACTATCACTATTGCTTATGGCCATTCAAAACGTCTATTTGATTTACTTCCAGTTAGTCATTTTTCATTTTTTCAAAAAATTCTTCAGCCTTTCTCTCGGCATTGTTTTTTTTTGGGGGTGGGGGTGGGTCATCTCAACTCATTTGGGATACAAGGAGGTGCCACCCAAAAAATTTCTAAGGATGAGGCGGGGTCATCATATACATGTACTACAGGAGATACTAGTCAAATCCCACCAGCTCCCCCTTAACCAGACAAAAAATGAATGGTCCCTGATGGCCACACCTTGTAAGGATCTAAAATAATTTAGTACACTCTGTATTTCTGTGGGTGCAAAAGAATTGTACATTTGTAAGAACTGAGTATACTGATGCAATTTATACTGTATTATTCCTTCAAAACATTTTTGTTTATGATTGGCTCAAATCCTATGGATAATATTCATCATAACCACATTAACCAGCTTGTGTTGAACAAATCTGGGAAAAGTTTGCAATAAGTGGAAAATGACATCAATACTACCCGCATAATTGCCAGAAAATGGCCCTTTTCATTGGTGTTTAGCTTGTTGTGGCTAAAAATAATATTTTATCAACAACTGTCCGTTTTTCTGCGGAAGCATTAATTTGAAGTCACTTTGCTGAAAAGTTATAGCCCAGACCGGCAAACAAACCTATGGCTCTGACTAGGTTTCAGTAAGATTCATAGTTTTTGCCATATAATAAGATTTTTAATGGCTGTTTAAGTTTGGAACATTTTGTGCACAGCTAGGAAAAAACACAGTGACTTTAGTTTCTAAAATTATGGGCATGTGGGGCAAAAACAAACACTGTGACCATTTTCTATCTGGATAGAGCATGTACACGTATAACTCCTTTACAAGGAAATTACAAATGTACCTTAAACCACCAACATCAGTCACCTAGCTTAACTCCCAATTCAAGGGTGACTGCTTAGAAAGGTTTTACCTAATAGAGGGCTTCTGATAGGTCATGGAAGAAAAGTCAAATGTCGCGGGATTTTTAGGGACAAACTTTGCCAAAAAACAATCAGTAAAAAACAGCCGATTTTGTGGGAATTTTGAGGGCAAATTTGCTAGAAATCTATCGGTTTTGTGCTGATCAGACCAGCATTTTTAACATTTCCTTAACAGAGGTCATCATTTGCTCTTTCAACAACAATACCCTCCACAAGTCAGAGCCAATGGCAAAGCTTTTAACATCATTGCTAGTGCCCAGTTTTTCAAACTGGTACAGCTGTAGTTTTGGGATGTTTCAAGATAAACTTGCACCTTTACAGCAAGTAAACAGCCCCTCGAGACGAGATACAGCTGTACATGTGAGATAGATGTTGTCCTGACATTCTATTTGATAAGATTTCTGGTGAATCTCGTGGTATTTTGGGTATTTTTGTGAATTTTGTGGGATTTCACGAATTTATCTGAATTTAATTAGAAGCTCTGTGACTGCGCAAAATATCAGAAGCCCTATAATATTATTATTGTTATAATCAAATATGATTTGAAATGATTATTTACTGACTCACAGGGTGTTAAAATTGCTGTTGAAATTACAGTACCTTTTGTTTGCCAATCAGCAAGCTGATCCAATGTGTCTTTCTCCAACCCTGCTACTAGTCCCAGACTCCTTACCAATGTCTTCAGTTTGTCAAAGCAATCATTGAACAGGGCAGCTGTCCACTTAGTAAAATCAACATGGCCCCATTTGTTTCTGACATTTTCCCTGACATCATCAGCTGAAGCCTGGGTTTGTGGGGAAAAAACAGGGGCAGGCATGTAGTTCTTAAAACCTAACAGACGAAGAATGGCAGTCATGTCTAGTGACTCATCAAAGGCTGAAAACTGAGCCAGATAACCTGGCAGATATAACTTTGCCAAATCCACAGAACTATAGATGTTGAAGTTGTAGTTGCATACACCATGAACAAGATGATTGTTGTTTATATTTTGAAATTTCAGGTTCCTCAAGATAGGATCGGCTCGGGCCAGACCGTGATTTAACGTAGTTAGAGTACAAGGTGGGGTCAGAAGTTGACAGTGTCTGTCCAGATTTGCATAGTCAGTGTCCATTCCTTGTTTCATGGCATCCCGCAAAACAGGAGCAGCAACTTTGTTCATGGCAATTCCCACAACAATCCATCTTTTTTCTTCATCAGAAACCATCATCTGTGTAAATAATTACATGTATGGGTGAAATAATAAAAATTAAAGCTTCTCAATATGAGAAATTTTCTTTACTGTTCTACATATAAATAAAATATACAGTTGATTGTGACCAATCTCGCAAGTGACCAGCTCCACAGTGTAGTTTATGACTACCTTTGCAAAACCCCATTTGAACTGTGAATTAAACTTTGTAATGAAGCTGTCTCGTAATCAACTGTGACCACTTTTGGGATTACCCAACTGGACTTTTTCTTTGTTTTTAAGCTCTTGTAAGTGACCACTCAGAGTCTTACTCAGATAAATCGACACTTAAATGAAACTGTACACTGCACTAAGTGGTTCCTTGATAAAGATCTTGGGGGTTATTTTTGTCAAAAAAATTGGACCCACAGTTTAGCTGTTGTGTCTATCAGATATACATGTACAATGTAAAGATGCTCATTAAACCTTAATTTTTTTTTCTTTTTGAAATTATTAATGAGTTTCTGAAGCTCTAGGTCACTTATGAGAGCCCATCCTCGTACTGTAAGAGTCACAGACAAGCCCTAGTTACGACCACTTTTCAAATTTATGAGGTGATCGCTTATGAGAGCTTTGACTGTATTACAATTTTACAATAGTATTAATGAGGAGCATTCAATGGTTGAAAATGAAAGCATTTTTCCCTTAGCAATCTTTTTTTTTTCTACAATGTTGATATCTGAACATAGAAGATAACCTTTAAACCCTAATATCAAAATCTAAATTCTCATTTGTTGTCCCTATACATTTTCAATAGAAGTAGTGGGGAGAATTTGTTGAAGTATCAATATTAGATTCATCTTAGAACTCTGATCATGTCCTCAATTCTCATATGACCACACTGGCACACTGGGGGGGAACAACCTGTCCTTTAATGCTTTGCTGACATTAAGCTCAGTGATGGGTCATGGTGATAACAGACTAGCCAATGTTAAAACAGTCAACCCTCTAGTAACAGACCACCCTTGACCAGTGCATGACAAAATGGTACTAATGGGAGGTGGTTGTCTACGGGAAAAATCAAGAAAATAAGCTCAAATGGAACAGATTAACATAATTACATAAAGTTATTACCTTACAAGCTAAAACTTACTGTAGGTAAAAAAACAACTGGCAATAATTTTTAACATCAAATAGTGGTTGGAACTTTTGAAACTTGTACATAACACTTTGCATCAATGTTACAATATTTACCTTTTACCTACAAATCCTATTCCAGCCATCTTTTTGGTATAAAGTCAACTGCGGTAATCTGTCAGCACACTTGATCAGTGCCATTTACACACAAGTATATGTAGTGGTAGCTCATGAGAAAGTTTTTGAAACAGTATTTGACTGAGAAACAATGGTTATTTTCAACATGGTCAGAGTGCTATAAAATGGTCACCAGAAAAAAAGAGACACTTTGTGCAGCCTTATGTGACAGTTTGAAAGAATCAAAATGGGTGCATGCGACATCTGAATGCTTTTAACACCCAGAGATCCTGGGTGAAATTAGGCAAATTATAAAAAAAACAGAGCAAAAATGATATTTAACACAAATGTCTATCTCACTTTAACTTAAAAAGACCATAAACACTAACTTCTAGAAAAACGCATCTCACAAAATCTCGGATTTCTTGGGAATACATATAGCCTGGCACATGACTGCTGACCACAGGTTGTGACTTTCACTGAAATTTTAGTTGCCAAAATTTTTTTCTACTCAGCATGGCGACCAAAACAGTCGCAACTTGGAGCACTGGGTCGTTTACGAGAAGTGGTCGCTATGAGGGCTGATGACTGTATTATTTCACCAAAACAGTGGATTACTTTCCGAGCATTTTGATTGGCTTCCGTAACTCGGTTTTTGAAACAGGAGTCAATATGGCATCCTGTTAATGTTATCTTCCTGTCATTTTAGCAACAAATGAAACAGAGGTAGCAAGGAATACTAAGAAAGCATTGAATGGTTTGTCGGTGTACAGGAAGGTAAGAAAATTATTTACCTACTGAATTTGCGACAAAATAATATGGTGAAAATGCATTTGAAAGTTCTTGGGAACACACAAAGCTATAGGTACTATAAATGATGTCTTTATTAACAAAAGTTATCCAAATGATTTGGTAAGTACTTAAAAAAATAGGCGCTTAAGAAACGCATGTGACTAGTGCTGAAGAGTAAAATGAAAATGGTAGAATGGTGCTACATACAGTATGCCATATCCTTTTGTGGTTTTCGTACAGCCCCATACACTGTACATTAATTATGCCTCGTTCAACACATTTGAATGCTTTAAAATGCATTGTAATGTTTCTCAATGGTTCATAACACATTTTCAATGTTTCCCATGAATGCGTGAAGCTTTGTCAAATGATGGAAAATGATTTCACATTGTTCAACGCCAACTGGCAATGATAGCAAATTAAGGTCAATACAGGACACATAGTCACTCCAATATAGTCCTTTTTACAATGCACTGCACACTGCACACCTCCCACACTCTGTGGGGAGGAGCGTTGCCTGATGACCTTGAGGAGACTACAAAACGTAAATCGGCAGATTGACTAGACATCAACTTCCTTGGTCAATCAAATGGGCGCCTAGTTTGGATGGACCGAAATCGAAAGTACTGTTGTTTTCATTACCTATACACAAGCAATATTGGAAATATACTTACGGATGAAGAAAACAAAAACAAACAAAGTAGCCAAGGCAGGTTGTATGATCATGACAGCCTCAAATTGCATTGGATTATAATTCACGGTTTGATACTATCGCACTATATTAGCTAGTCCCCACGCTGTAAAATAAACATCTGGCTGAAAACTAACAACTAAGCTTTACAGTTTTTTCTGATTCAGTTGCAGAAGATTTTCATAAGACTTTTTACCTTTTGTGACATTGCATGTGAAGCCTCACAAGACCTGAGAAATGATTGACAGGAACAGCAGAAATTATCTTGATCACCCTTAGAAGTCAATAAATTGTAATTAACAGAAACATCATTTTAATGTAATTTTTAAAGAAGAAAAACTCGAAAAATATCCTGTTTCCTTACTACGTGTGTAGCGAATTGTGTGTCATTTGCCTAGTTGCTTCTAGAAAATGAACATCCTTGGTGAAACCTAATCCTGTGAGCTACATGTACTTTGTTGCTTAGCACATGACCGAAAGTCTACTCCAAAATTTCATTACACAATGTTTTCACAGGAGGTGATTTGGAGCGGAGAAATCTATTACACAAATATTGTGGTTTGTAAGTTATTTTGAAGATGAGAAGTGAAGATACGCTTCTTGAGAAATGATGTGATTCACTGCATTTTCATTCGGTTACACAGCAACATTTTTCAAACTTGAATATAGGCAACTTGTCTCAAAAGCTATCAAGACTTATCAAAGCAGACTACGAGGCAGCTAAGCATTTCATTTGTCATCGAGGACTAGCAACAAATCATCATTGTGACAAACGTTTTAGAAAATTGGTTATCTTTGTATGCTAATTGGCTCGGTAGTATATTCTATTGTTATTTACTTTCGGAAAACTAAGAATAGTAATTAATGGCGCATGCGCAGTAGTCACAAAAACTAAAAAATAACTATTCCTCTTACACTACTGTAGATATACATATTGTCGACTCTTTGCATCTGACAACTGGTACATATCAACCACCCTTCTTCTCCCCTTTGGGGGACAGTTGTATAATAGTCCACATGGCATGTTTGGCGTGTCTGATTGTCTGCCACTTTCCCCATTTCTAGCCGTTTCGTATTGCATGATGTCAAACGATTTCTAACCATCGCATTTTTGTTCCATTGAGTACTCTATCTTGTGGTGGTTCCCACTTTTTGAATTTTAATAAATTTCGTGACACAGCTCCGTTACGACGTAAACTATCTTGAAAAACCAAGGAGATGCTTACCTTAGCTCTGGAATCCACAATCGAAGTCTCTAGTGGGTCCAAGTTGTCTTTCTACACAACGTCCATAACATTCAATTCATGCAAGCTTGAGTTGTTTCAAAAAATAAATGAAAAGTGTTGAGTTAACACCTCTTATCATGCATTAAGTAATGTTTTGAGCACTTAGAGGGTTATAATAGCACACAGGAGGCAAGAAGTTTCAACAAAAAGCCGTCCAGACTCAAGCCGAAGTCAAAACCACTCGCGATAGATACGCTTCTCGCTTCCGGGATTCCTTGGTGGGAGGGGACAACAGAGAGAAGCCTGGGAATGAAGTTGCTCACGTGAACGAGTTCGCTGAGGGACAAGGGACAAGAAAAGGGACACCCCCGGCCCCGGCGGGGTACTCCTGCTAGTGGGAATTCAACAACAACAACAACAACAACAAGTTTATTCAGTATTACCATTTTGTACGGGTGTTATCGATGAAAATAACAGTAAACAGCTAAATTTGAGGAAATGAAGATATAATGGAATGATAGAATTAATTATGTCATGCAGAAGGAGCGTTGCTACCCTGGCTCCAGAGCTCCGTTCTCAAACACAAGGTAGAGCGTTACTTTATGAGCTTAAAAACGGCTGCGGGAGCCCATAACCCGGAGCAGTACGGACCAGTTTATTTAAAGACAATTTTAGGGCATTTCAGGTTTTTTCCGCGAAAATAGAATCTCCACCATTGCACCATGTCTATGAGCGCATTCGAAGTATAAGATAGCAAAATGAAAACTAAACGTTATTAAAACTCATAAAGTATTATTTTTAGGTCTGTAGGTTTTAAGGACTGGTTTGTGGAATTTAAAAGATATTCAAAATTCGCGCCAAAACCGTTCTAAAAATAAACTGGTCCGTGAAGACGCCTTGACAAGAGTGCATGGAAGTAGCTCGCTCCAGGTTTTGGGCTCCTGACGGCTGTGAAGAAGACCAGGTGGGGGTGTGCTTCCTGCACTGGTTCTCCAAACCCTTACCATGTTTCAGACTAAAAACTGTCATTTTCCACACCCGTTTTCAGACCTTACCACTAAAATCCATATTCAATTTTGAAAGAAAGGACCAACTTACAAAAAAGAAGTACCGGATCCTAATAAAGGATCTAATCAGCAATAAGTGAAAAAATAAAACAAAAGAAGCAACGCTGATTTTACAGTCGGGAAAATATATTTCTTTGCCAACATTTTGGAAGGCACGGCCTTCCTTCTTCAGGGTCTTACATACAATGATAAAGGTTAAGCTTAGCCTGCATGGCATGCGTTAAAAATGAAAGGGAGAATTTGGGCGCGCAGGGCACGCGAGAGGGAAAGGAAAGGAACCCCTCCTTACTTCTCCCTCGCGCGCGGTCTCGCTCCCTAATTCCCTTCCCTTTCGAACGCCCTGTCACGCAGGCTAGGTTAAGCTAAGACGTTACAATTTGACATAAAGAATAGCGTGCAATATGATACTTAAATATCATCGTGAAAATTTACATTTTTAGACAGAAATTATGTCATAATTACTTAGATTAGAGCGCAAACAAAAAATTTCTTCAAATGCATCTCGAATTCGAATGTTTCTATCTCTCTTTCTTATTCTTTTGGAATTGAAACGACAAATACGTTCATTCGTCCCCAGGAAGAGCCCAGGGCCGGGTTGTTCATAGCCTCCTACACAGGCGTGTTTAGGGGAGCTCGTTTTTCATCCCTCCCCACAAACGCCTGCTCAGCTAAAAACAACATCCCTGGAGAGAGATGAAAGACGAGCACCCCTAAACCAGGGTTAAGATAACCAAGGGTTAGTGCTAAACAAATTATACGGACACTTTTTACGGCCTAGCTCCTCAGTGTCCGAATAAACGAGGTTCGAGTGTATTTAAATTATACTTGACTCCCGATAACTCGAATCCTCGCTAACTCGAACCAAAATCGATTTCCCCCAGGAGCCGATTACCTGGATTTCCGTCATACATTTACTGTAATTTTACCCTAGATCATTTAGATCATTTCTATACAATTTTACCCTCGATAACTCGAACCATGTTTTGAGCCCTTAAAAGTCGGGAAAAAAACAGTCTGCTGGCGTCCCAAATATTGAATTTTGAATTTCCCATTGACGTGTTGAAGGCATATAGTTTACTATTGGAGGTTGATGTTGTTTGTCACAAATCTCACGTGAAACAACTTTAATTACTTCCCAAAACAATAAAACGCTTGCTCTATTTAGGCAATGCTTTGTTACATTACATACTGATTTATAATCTAGAAGTATCTTTTAATTTTCACTTGACATTCCTACAATTAAATGTGATTAAAATGTTCACTACGCAGAAAAAAAACTGTTTTTTTCCAGCTCCCGGCTATTTTCTTCGAGCTCCCGATAACTCGAACCTTTTTCGATTTCCCCTGAAGGTTCGAGTTATCGGGAGACGACTGTATTTAGAACATAGACAGTTCAAAATAATGAAGAAAAAGACATAATGAAAGAGAAGGGAAAACTTAGAGAAGAAATTCTAACAATGAAAAGCACAGTCGACGCAAATGCGTTTTCAACCTTTATTTCATAAATTTTAATTTCGGACGATACTTTGATCATACAATCAATTTGTTATACAAACACATAAAAATAAAAAAATAAATGTGATAATATTGGAACTCATTTAAATTATGGTGGTTTTAATAGAAAAAAGGCTATTTTTAATTTGGTCAAATTTGTTGTTTTCATTAACAGCAATTATATATAATTCCAATATTTCTATCTTCTCTTTAACATGCATCGATATTTTCATTCAATCTGGATACGTTTTCATTTACCAACTTGTAACTACACATACACAATTTCTTGATTTAATATTATATATTAAATACTAATAAATTCGACAAAAATTATGTATTACTTGGTTATTGTTACTAAATGTAATTAATTTCAGAAAAGAAGCTTGGGGGCAGACTTTTCTTAGAAGTTACCCATGTCAGTCTTTATACATTATTTACTAAAAACTGTTTCGATCAACCTATCTAAACAAAAGTCTATATCGTCCTACAGACTGAGGCCATGTTCGCACTGTCCCGGATGTAGCTTTTCGCGCCGACTCTAAAATCTATCGGGTATGTGATGAACCCGACCCATGATGATGTGATGAATATGGATACGTGACTCTCCACTTTAAATGTAGAGATGGCACGGCGTATCTCCCCACAGTTTGTGGGGAGGGAGGAAAAACGAGCTCCCCTAAAAACGCCTGCGTGGGAGGCTAGGCGTATCTGCGCTCCGTCACAGAAATCGCGCCAAAATCACCGTCCTCATGTGTAAACAGAAGCCCTACACGGTATCAATGTTTTTCGTGCCGGCGCTAAAACTTTAATTTACGGTACGTGTGAACATAGCTTAAAGGTGATGTTACACGGGACGATTTGCAACAACGATTTTTCGCGAAACACAGCTTTACAGCATTGTTGCGACATTGTTTCGAATGGTTGCCACATTGTTGCAACACTGCAACCCTTTGTTGCGTTGAAAATCGTCGTTCCAAATCGTCTCGTGTAACATTACCTTGAAAGTTCTTTACCGTTTTTCTAAACGATAGCATGACAGGGCTGTGTTCTTGTGGTTTTATTTTGTATGGAGTGACATCTTTATTTATTTATTGTCACCTGTCTTTTGCTGTTGCCATGGGTTGATTTTCTCAAGCAGTCACGATCTATTGATATTTTGGTAAAGAATTCGTAGTTGAGTTTATCTCGTTCACACTCCTCACTTCGCAATGTTTTTTATACATTGATAAGGGTAGCCTACGAGCAAGCTCGCCTATTTGGGCGAGTGAAACTAGTCTCGCGAGAACGCGCCAGCGAGACTCGCTTCGCTTGCCCAAATAGGAGAGCTTGCTCGTAGGCTATGATAAGGGGTGCGGCAGCCTCCCCGCGGACGTCCTTTGGGGTTCGTTCGTCATGCATTCATTTCTCCCCCACGTGACGAACGAACCCCAAAGGACGTCTGCAGGGAGGCTAGGGGTGCGGCTGACTTTCCGCCTTAGTTTCAATATATTGAAGCGCAGTAAGACGTCTGGGCTTCGGGGCGAATTTTATAAGATTTCTTTGAAATGTATGCTTACTATGGTTGTGAAATGTAAAGAAAAATAATGTATCCAAAAAAAAATACCAACACTTCAAACTTAAAATGTTGAGTAGCCTTCAATATTCTAGAGTTCTCTAAAAGATAAAAGAACAATTGACGACACTAAGGCCTGGTTCAAACGTCGCTCCACTCATGTGCCGAACCTAAGTGATGAACTAAGGACTGTCCACTCTGAACAGCAGATTCAAAAACACGTGTGGACGAAAGCCGAATCCGCAAAGAAAAAGTTGCGGATGCGGGTAGATGGGGACTAAACCGGTTTAGACGCTTGGGCCGGTTTAGACGCAACGACGACGGCGACGGGAACGAGAACGGCAAAAAAGCAATAGGTTTCGATTAGTAAAACAACAACTGTGCACGTGCATCACGATTTTTTGTACATTTCTTTGTCGTCACTGCACGACTAAGATCTGAAAATGCCTAATTTCATGTTTTGTGGAGAACGTGAACACAAGACAACAACTTTCTTTTTCTTTTCCTGAACTTCGATACAGTCTTTTAGAATTCATCTCCAGAAAAATTTGCCAACATTTGACGAACTGAACGGGATCTAATAGGCGCGATAAAGTTTGAAGCAGCGCGAATTCACTTTTTAGGTGACTTTTTCGTAGCTGTCACCGTCGTTGTTGCGTAAGCTCCCTAATACTGAAGAGAAATTTTGTTTTTGTGAGTTGTATCCGCAAGAGATACAATATTAGTTATCGGGGGATTTCAAGGGGAGGCTTTAATAGAACGCGATTTCACACAATCAGTGTATCTACGACTAATTGTTTAGTAAATGAGCTGTTTTAGTAGATAGATGTTTTTCTAAAACTAAAAATATTATTTCCACGGCCTGGGTACATAATTGATAACATATTTTTGAAGATCTTAAAGCAAAGTTAAGTCTACCTGGAATATTTCGGCGGACCAACTTCCGTAAATGCAGATTAGCCGTAGTTGCATAGGCCAAACGATATATGAGGACTCACACACGGATGAGAGTTCCAGGGTCCCATTCCTGTCACTGAAGGATGCAGTAATTACAATATGGGTTCTTGTATTTGGCCAAAATTGCTTTCCTTAGTCAGGGATGATAAAGCGTTCTTCAAAATCATGTTATCGAAAATGTTTTTAGTTTCCAGTCTGCGTTATGTGACTTCTGATCTCGTAACTAAATCTCGCTCACTTGGCCGTGGGGATCTGGGTACAACAAGATTAGTGACTTCGTCGACTGTCGCAAAAAAGACAATTACCAGTTAGGACCTCCACCGCGATCAAACGTCCAAGGTGTATTTTGTTTTAAAATGATGGAATTACATTTACCAGTAAGTGTATAAACATGCCTGGGCAAAAAATGTGCAGTCAAGATTATTTTGTTAACCTAACTGTCTTTTCATTTTTCTCGAAATATCGAGCTTCTCATCGCTGAAGACGCTCCTCGCTGGAGTGAAATCAGCTGGAAAATGACGCTGACATAACACCAACTTCGATGTTTAACACTTACAACTTTTTTCCGTAAACTCTCAAAACATTTAGTAAACGGACGGGATATTGATAATATCTTACACATTCAGCAGTGAAAGTTGCAACCTTAGCTTTGAAGTACTTTGTTTAGCTTTGTTTATTTCTCTCGTTTGACCGCGGAAAAGTTAGGCGCATAGGTAAGCCAACTTGAATGGCTGAAAGTACAAAGACGCGTCTTTCATTCAAACATTCAACGAGTCTAAGATTTATGATCGCTATATTAAAGGGGCTGTGTCATAGCAGTCCAGTTCATTTTGTTTAATTTTGCCAATTACTCGCCCTCAATCGCTATGGAACTTAAAGTAAGCAAAGAAATTATATGTAAATGACAAAATCAGAGATCCGAGATAAACAAATATGTGTCCTGAACATTATTTTTGAAGTTGCAAGCAGCAGAGATCAACTTTGAAAAACTGTTAGGCTGAACAGTTTTCAAAAACCCTAATTTCAATCAGTTTCAATCTTCTTCAGTTTTGCCCATCCGTGGCGTCTGTTGTTTCTGTTATGTTGTTTTAACCTTCGTTTAAAGTTTTAAGCGGTTATTTTTATGTTTCTCTTAATTTAACGGGCATTTTGTAATTTCCTAATTTGGCTGAATTTCGTGACACAGCTCCGTTAAGTTTTGGAAGTCTCCTATGCTTAGCGAGCGGAGGAGGCGGCTACTATTCAGGCTACAAAACGCACAGCCTCCAGAACTATTCCTGTTTTTAGCAGGTCTTTTTAGTTTTTTCCTTCTAAGCCCAACAAATTTTCCAGCTATAACATGGTAACGCACCTGTGACTGCCCTTAGATTCCTCCTTTGATAGCTTCGGAGAATCCCTAGATCGCGGCTGGGTTGCGTTTTCTCTTGGGGTTGTCCCCGATCCGGTGTTTCCGCCATCCGGCTGATAGGATCTTTGTCGGGATTCTCCATCGACAGTGCTCCTACGGAACGTGTGGTTAGAAATTTGGCTCTTCATGTAAGCCACAGTATTTTTCTCGGGATGGAAAATAATAATGTAAATCTTTGGCACAAAGATACAAACTAGCATTCCTGTGGCGGAGATGATAGATGAGGTACCCGATACTATCACAGTGTATTTGCCGCGGATGTTCAAATAAACCGGGTAAAATGTCACCCACGAGATGACCAGGACGTAAAGTGCAAATGCGATGAATTTCCCCTCGTTAAAGTTGTGCGGGAGTTTCCTGGACTTGAAAGCAAAGTAGCAGCAGACAAAGGACATGATAACGAGAATAGCGATAAGGAGATAACGACAGAAAAGTCCCCCTGTGTTAGTAGTCTCCGAGCAGGCGTAAACGAAAGTCGTTCGCAATGATTTGTCGACGTATGGGTGGGGAATGTCAACAACAAACCATATAAGAAGAATCAGGACATCGAGAGCCACAATGCCGATAATTATCAAAATATGCTTGTGTTTCTCGATAAATCTTTTGGTAAGCTCCGACCGAGGAACACGATGTTCAAACAGATGTACAATTCTCTTCGTCTTGACTCCAAGTACGACAATAGCGACGGTGTAAAAAATATAGAACCAAGCTTGTATTAACGGGCAGATCACATCGTTCGGTTCTGAAAGATTTACCATCGCCCATAAATAATTCATCCCTATGCTGAAGAGGAATAGGTAGCTGAGTTCTCTATTAGATGCTTTGACGATTGGCGTGTTGTTGCGCCATCCAAGCACAGCACCGACAGCTAATGAAGCAAGCATCCCTAAGCACGAGATAACTGTGATGACTGCGCCTAAAGGTTCTCCAAAATGGATGCGCTCTAAAGGAACTGGTACGCACTTCGTACGATCTTCATTTGAGATGTGGTCTTCCCCGCACTTGGTGCAATTCATGGCTCCATGTGAAGACGAAACAGTGTTTTCAGAACACCGAATGCACTGCCAACAGCAGTTTATCTCCTGCGTCTGTCGGTATCCTGGCTTGCATCTCTCACTGCAGACCGAGCGCGGGATGTTTCCTGAGAGCCCGTCGTTCCAGACGATGGAGCTGGCATTGAGCTTGAGTTTGCCTTCTTCCCAGGTCCCCACTTTAATAACTCGACCTCCTTTCTCTTCATCCACACGATAATTGATGATACTGTAAGACGCGGATGAGTCGCCATTTTCATCAAAATAGACTCTAGAGACTTCACTAGAGAAGTTGACTTTCTTCAGGTAGTCAAGAACATCCTTTGGTTTGACGAAAGGCTTTGTTTGGGGACATTTTCTCATCGGGTGGGGTTTACACCTATAGATAGCGTCTAACGCATGCGCGATTGCATACACAGCGTTGATGACATAGGTTGCTTTGCTGTCGGACAAACTATCCTCGAAGATTTTTTCAGTTACCTGCAGATCATCTGAGCATTGCTTTCCTCCGGACGAAACAACACCAAATGTACAATTATACTCTCTTTCCCAGAAAGTTTTCCACCATGACGAGTTTCTATAAAGCGACGTGCGTGACAATAAATGCCGCTTATATGAAGGAACAGTAATATCCGTGAATACAACTCCAAGCATCCCCTTTAAGACTGGTTGAAGTTCTTTCTTTCGGATAACGTCATCATTATCACCCCAAGCCTCGCTAGCTATCCAGATTCGATCCTTAAGTCCTTGTCGTAGTGCCTCTTCCAACACAATTGACGCAGATTCTTTGTCACAATATAAGATAATCACACCAACATTTTCTCTCTCGATAAGTTCCTCGACAATCGTCCGAATTCTTTCCTTGCCTTGGTCGCCAACCGGAAAATAGTTATCGTACGCAATACATATCCCTTGGGGTTTTGAATGTTTACGGAAAAATTCGATCCCCGATCTCCCGTACGCGTCGTCTGCGGCGATCGCAGCTACGTAGGTCCAATTAAAATACTTTGCAATATCGGTCATAACCTTCGATTGGAAGCGATCGGGAGGAACAGTACGAAAAAACGAAGGGTACGCGCTACTGCTAAGTTCGTCGCTAGTAGCAGCGTAGCTTATTAGCGGAATGTCTTCAACCTCTAGTAAATTTGATACCAGTATGGAGGATCGCGATGTTCCGGTTCCCACTACTGAAGCCACCGGGTAAAGTTGACCCCGCGGTAAAATAGCACACGATTCATTTAATGCAGGATTTATCACAGAAAATTTATGAACGTTCACGTAATCCAACGTAGATTTCATAGCTTGACGATTTTGTAAATTCGTGTCAGAAATATCGTAACCCAGTATAATCTTTGGTAGCAGTTTCAAATCCTTGTTGATTTGATCAATTGCGAAGACCATGGCTTCCGCTAACGACAGAAACTTTGATCGAAATTCTCTACGCACGTGAACGGGGAATAAACCACCGATCACTACGTCTCCTTTCTTGTAGATTCTCACACCGGGCACGGTGTCTGCCATTTGTGCAGTTTGTGGTAAAGCGAAACTTAAAACCATCGCTAAAACAAATCCAAAGCTGATGTTTTGACAACGAAATATCAGCCGAACCATTTTAAAAGTAGTTATATTGCGTGAATAGAAGTTCTCAGAATCTTCACAATCCTCTTGATCTCAAACAAGTTGAATTAATTTTCCCCTTTCATCCTTTGACTCCGCCGCGAGGCGTAATTTAGTCCAAACTTTTCTTGGGACAGTAGTTCGTACAAAGGACACCATCCATAGCACGTTCTAACCTGCCTTCTGTCAATCAATTTGAATTTTGATGGCCTCACTCCGCATGATTGCCCACTGAAAAATGAAACGTTTGGATTTTGGTTACTAATCTAAATAAACTAATGCATTATTCCCCAGAAGACGTCATGCTGTCAATAAGAGGAACATTTTTAAAAAAACCGTCGCCGAGTGATATAGTCTTGAAACAAAAATTTCGCTTGTTGTAAAAGAACTGGAACTCCAATATTCATTATTCGAGTTGACAAAAATCCTTTCGTCAGCAGTAAGCCATCTCTTGTAGAAGGAACTGCATCAAAACTCCATTTCTTTACGATAAAAATAGCAGTATTTGTTTATCGAAGTAAAGTTTCGTTTCTTGATTGGAAAGCTATTGTAGGTGAAAACCTCAACAAGCCATTCTTCCAATCCTCCGTGACTTCTAATTCCCTAATCACCACATAAGCAAATATCAGTCGATTATTTCCGATTCCTATGGTTCGCCTGGTTTATTTTTTTTGAAAAGAGAAAATTCAAAACATTTTTTCTCTGTCACAAGATATCATGTATAATTAAGCTGCCTGTTGTTTTAGTAAAGTAAACAACGTATTCAGTATAGAAGCCATTAGCACTTATTGGACTTCCAATTATAAGTGGAATTTCTGTGTGCCATTAGCATTTATAATCATCACTGGATAAGCAGATTTTATCAGTATTATAATCCAATCCGTCTGTAATGTCAACTGTAGAAAAAGAAAAATCAGAAAAGACTAAAAATATTTTAAAAAACTGATAAAAAGTTCATAGAAATTTGTCATTAATATTAACATGACTAATTTCCCATAATTGCTGCAAGTGTCAAGTAACAATGTTGCTGACATATTTCATTTTGATTACCCTAAAATATATTTTATAAAACTGGAGACAAAAAAATAACTTCTAACGAAACGTTTTGAAATAAAAAGATTACTTATCTAACAGGAAGCACAGAAAGTCAGGTAGGGAAGGTAAAACATATCTGCACGATCAGGATAAAACAAACTGATAAAAAAATAAATAAATAGAATTAATTTTCCTTTTTCTCCTGGTCACTTTAGAGTTCAAATAAACCCAAAAGGCGGTAGTTTGAACGTTTGCAAACAGCTTGATTGTGTTTGGTGTTCGTGATTCACTTAGGATAACTCATCAATTGCAAACGTGGAAGTTCCGTAAAATTTTCTTCACGGGTTATCAATAATGCACGTAATTTAAATTCAAGCCACAATCTTGATTCAGTGGGTCTGTCATCAAAGTACTCGACCTCGCCGGTCAGCCGTCTTGGCAATTTTGCAGATGTGCCAACTGATACTACCATATAATTGTTTTTATTAATATCTTTTCGAGATCTTTATCCAGTTCAAAGTACCTCTCTATAAACTTCCACGCACTCAACCCTTTTTGCTGTGTGATCCGTTTTCATTTCTCAATTCTAATTCGTTAGTGATAAGTATGCCAAAAATAACTTCATTTTCTTGGAACTGCAGAGAAGCAACATGGCTGTATCGGGCAGAAGCCACCGTTTTTACGTTTGTTTACAAAACCATTTGAGAGATTTATATTTTAATTAGTTTCTTATCGGAAGTCACGTTCTGTTTTATAGGGTCTAGAAATCCACCATGTTTATCAGTTTGTAAAAATATATCATGACGTTCCTTGTTGAAAGGGGTTTCTTCTTAAAAGTTATGCTAGATTACACGCAATGGTCAGGAAGAGCGGGGAAGGGGTGGGTCCGGACCCAATTAATGCGGGCATGAGACTGAGGAATTTTTCTAAATAGCCTCGAAACCGAAGTTGTTGTCACTGAAGGATAATAACAAAAGGATCAAGAGGCTTAAAGTTTTCTAGGAAAAGTGTGACGGCCGAGGAGCTGAGAACGGTGGAAAAGATTGACTTTAGTGCTGGGCACACGTCTGGACCCCACCGATAAAAAATTCCTTTTTATTATTAATCCGCACCTGACACGTCAGGAATTAAAGGAAATCGTATCTCTCCGGTAGGTACTTAATAATATTGAGCTAATTGTGCAAACTACTTCCGCTCCGAAACTGCTGAAACTAAAACTATTTTACGTGCAGTACTTTACACTGGAAGTGAAAGGAAGTAATATAGAAATGCATACCTTACAGTCGGAACCTTTTCAACCAGTTCCACTCTTGAAGTCGCCCAATATCCGCATAAACGACTCCAGACTGATGACCATGCATTTCCTTAAAGACTGAGAGAATTTGATAAAGATCATATTATTTCTCTGGGATTATCATTTTTATTGATTCTCATAACATTTCCTCTTGTTTATGTACATCCCCTGAGACTCAGGGGCAGTCAGTTAGCTCGGGATTCGGCGCACCTTTTCTCTCGACCAAACTCGTGACTACCCCTTGGCCTCCGTGGATCGATTATGTATCAGTGATATTGTTAAAAGAAAATTCATGATATTGGACAGTCTTGGGACATATAGGGTAAAAAGGGTTTCTGTTTGTGATCCAGCTGACAATTTTGCTTGCCGAAACTTTTGCTTAAAATAGTCGGTGACCGCTTATATGTAGACCGCTTAATAGAGGGTCGAATTTATTTCACCAAATATAACAGAGAGGACTATAAATGCCACTGAAGAAAGCGCTTTATCACCATTTTTTTACTTAGCCGAACTTTTACGACAAGCCACGTTTACTGAGATTTCGTTTGTCTTTGTTGAATGCTCGAGTTGATCGCTTGCTGATCCCTGTGATTTTAGCCGAACAATTTCACCCTGTTAAAAGTGTTCTTTGTTTTTTCCAAGTGATAGTCATATCAACTTATCGCATGATTAATACGGTGGGTCATGAACCCAAACTGGATTAATTTAGGTTTGGTTTGCATGCTTTTTTTAGTAACGAGTTCCATACATGTATCCAGTCGGCTCTTAGAGTCAACGTTACTGTTGCGGAAACTATTGTAGACTACTGTAGCTATTATTTTGCGGTGTTGATATTGTTCATCAGCGAGTTTCTTGCCAAAGTTATTCATATGATTTAATCGCAAGCTAGCTTCTTCCAGGGTTTTAGACTTTCTCAGGTATCGGAAAAAATCGCAACAACACGAGAAAAACAGGAAGCGAGACCATGTGATGGATTTTGAGCAGTTCGTCGCTCTTCTATAAGTCGTTGCAAAGCCAGAATTAAGGTTAAGCAATTTGCTTGCTCCAGGTGGATTTCACGCCTCGTTCACACAGGCTATGATCACCAGTCCACACAGCGAACTTTGTAATGAGGTCCATAATTACTTCACTTCATGGTTTAGCTATGAAAACTGGGCTATTTTTATTAATGTTCTACTGTTCATTTCTATCCATTCCATATTCATACCCGGCTAAAAGTTGAGATGATGAGTCATGCTCTCCTCCCATATTGATCGGTTTATGAGGTTACATGCCTCGTTGTGTTTTTAAGAGTTTCACGCACAAAGATGGGTGGAAATTAAACTACTGACGGAAAGCTTCCGATGGTCGGGGGCGGAGGTACTCCGGAATTAGATCGACAGGTACAATCGACGCTCATTCTCTCTTGTTGCCGGATGTTTTGAGGTTTGGAATTTTCCATTCCAGGAGTTTTCTTGGGTAGAAAATTTGGTAAGTTTTTTTGGTTCCTTTACTTACGTTGGAATGTATTTGAAGGTTGCTGTAGCCACACTGCAACAACGCGCGTGTACATGCCAGGCGCGTAGCTCTAGAATACCAGATGATGAAAAGATAAATTCATATGGCACAATAAATAAACAACCACAAACATTCAATTTCCCTCTTTTTTTCGTGTTATATGATTTAATCCATTGAGAGAAATTTTTAAGGCTTGGATGTTCGGCACGAGAGTGCTAGTTTTTGAGGGTTAATATTTGATCCAGGGATTATTCGGTTTTTATATTTGACCCCTTGTGATCATTATCGTTATATTTAAATTACGGAGCACCAACCCCCTCCTCCCTCAACCTCTCCCCCCCCCCTTCCCAGCTGATGGTGAGCTTTGATTTTGTGGTGTGGGTATTTAATTGTCTTTCAGCCTTTTACGTCATTTCGTGGTAGAAACGCTAAGAAAGCGTTCCTTTTTCCCCGAAGTCATGATGACTTGTTCAGGCGTGTTTTCCCACATTTGGCATGTGCGTAGTTGCAAGTACTGATATGTTCATCACAATGTCTGGTTTTTAGTTATTACCCGCATAGTATTTGCTCTAGTTGTTTTAATGATACCCTCATTCAGACAACAGTCAGAAAGAGATATTTCCTTCTCGCCCCCAACTTTTGAATTGCGTGCACAAAAAATGTGTTCAATTACAAAAAGAACGGTGCAGATTATCCCATTCCTCATCATTTAACCCAGAAGTTTGTCCCCTCAAACTATACGACCAGCAAAATTTTCCGGAATCCCCAGGACCACGAGGCCCAACCTTCTTTGTTATTCTCAGGCTTTTTACTGAAATCGGCCCGTCTTTCGGGTTCCAAATATCCTTCTGTTTTCTGATTTCCTATCAGTTAAGTTGCGTTATTCTCCAAAACCGCTTATCATTGCTGTAAAATTGAGCAAATTTAATGTTAATTGTAGAAAAAGAAAAATCGGAAAAGACTAAAAATCAAAAAAGACTGCAAAAGTTCATACAAATTTGTCATTAATATTAAAGCTAGGGCTCGCTAACTTTCCATAATTGCTGCAAGTGACAAGTAACAATGTCGAAATAAAACATATCTGCGCGGTCGGAGTAAGACAAATTGATAAAAAAAAATAAAAAAATAGAAAAGATCGGGAGGCCTTAATTCTGCTGCTTTAATTTTCCTTCCCCTACTAGTCAATTCAGTGTTCAAATAACACGAAAAAGGCGGCAGTTTGAACGTTTGCAAACAGCTTAATTGTGTTTGGTGTTCGTGATTTATTTATTGGAAACGTGGAAACGGAAAGATAAATTCATTAAAATTTCCTTGACGGGTTATCAATGATGCACGTAATTAATTCAAGCCACCAACTGGATCTCAATGTACTCGACCTCTCCGGTAAGTGGCAA